CAGAGCCGCAGTTTGCTGACCACTGTTCTAGGGTATGACCATTCTCACCACCCAGGGGTGTTTGGTCATGGGTTTCAAGGGCCATCTAAATTAGTGCAAAGGATCCTAGAATTAGCCTGGACTCTGGGTGGGGAAGGAGTGCTCTCCATTATACAATGGGATCCAAGTCTAGTCAACAAGATGAGGTTCAACGACAGAATGCAGCAGACTGCTTAGATTAGTAGCTGAGTATGATGGAGGCAGAGTGGGATGGATTACAGCTATCAGAGGGCAGAATTTCTGTGTTTCTTTGCTCTTGGTTCCTCTTTTACTTTTTAAGAGAGTGCATCCCTTCTGCCTTCACCATTCTCCCTATCTCAGCAATACTATGTTTGGTCCTGACCATGTTTCATATTGTCCAGAGACCATCATTGTGTGGATGTTTCCTTTCAATCAAGCACAACACACCCAGAACTGGTCTCAGTAATGAGCAACCTTCCCCTTCCATGTCACTGAAATTATACCTGCCCCTTACCAGGTGCAGAAGCAGTGATACCAGGCTGGTGCTTTTCTGAGCCTTTTGTTGCTGTGCTTGGTGCTAAGTCAGTTTACCTTCTGTTCCTATAGTCCCTCTTAAGAGCTGGGGGATTAGTCCCCCTCCTCTCTTCTTAGGTGCCGCCACATAATAGAAAAGCTGGTTACTATCACTAGCCCTGCAAAATGCAGGTGTCACCTCTCGGTGTCCTCCAACTTCTAATTTCATGAAACACCACACAAACAGTTTGGTTATTATAATAGGAAAAAAAAATTACATTTTATTTTAAAGTGGGAGAATTGTAGAGTTTCAAAAAGTACAATCCTTGATGTTAAAGCTTAGAGATAGACCTTATCTTATTTTTTTTTAATTCTATGTAACCATTGTCTCTAATAGGTAAGTATTCTTCTGTCCAGTTGGCATGGCTCAGTGGTTGAGCACCACCATGAACCAGTCAGGGCACATGCTCAGGTTGCAAGCTCAATCCCCAATGTGGGGCATGCAGGAGGTAGCTGATCAATGGTTCTCTCATCATTGATGTTTCTATTTTCTCTCCCTCTCTTTTCTTCTCTGAAATAAATAAAAATGTATTTTAAATAAATAAATAAATAAACAAACAAACAAACAAGTAATTATTTTTCTAAAGGGTATCTCTTTTTCTTATCTTTTCTATAGAAATATTATAGAAAAGGTTTAAATTAGTACTAAAATCTGCTGCTGATGTGTTGTTGTTGTTGTTGTTGTTGTTTCTGTGCATATATTTTGGACCCATAAGGAAATTTGGCAAAGTTGCCAAAACCAGTTTGGCTCAGTGGATAGAGCGTCGGTCTGTGGACTGAAAGGTCCCACGTTCGATTCTGGTCAAGGGCATGTACCTTGGTTGCAGGCACATCCCCAGTAGGAGGTGTGCAAAAGGCAGCTGATGGATGATTCTCTCTCACTGATGTTTCTAACTCTCTGTCTCTATCTCTTCCTCTCTGTAAGAAATCAATAAAATATATTTTTTTTTTAAAAAGAAAAGAAATTTGGCAAAGTTTATCAAGAGAGTTGGACCCAGCAACTCCACTTCAATGAGATTCTTCTAAGAAAAGAACGAGGGATGTTCTCAAAGATTTATAGCCAGGATATTCATTTCAAAGTTACTTGTATTCATTACAAATGGAAACAAATTACATCTAAAAATAGAGGAATGCTTAAAGAAATTATTTTAGCCAGGCAATAGAATGCATCTATTAAAAATCCTACCATTAAATCTACTTTATGACATAAAAAATGCCCAGGATATGATGTTAAGAGACAAACAAACAACTTGAAACTGTTTTTATTATGGCCCCAGATTTATCCTTAAAGTGTGAGTGACTGTATGTGGTAAACAACACACACACACAAAAGTAAGTATAAACTAGCATTCCAGAATGTTGACTGCTTATCTGCCAGGAGGGATTATAAATAATTTTTACACATTCTTTATAATTGTATGCATTTTCCAAATGTTCCAGAAACCTGTATTATCTTATTCATTCACTTATTCAACAAGCAGGCAGTAACTGTGAGGTGCCAAGAACTCTGCTTTGTGCTGAAGAGATAAAGTAAACAAGAGAGGACAGACATGTTCCTTGCTCTGCTCAGAGTTTATAATCCTTTAAAATTAGGAGGAAACTTAAAAAAAATAATTTCATTTGACCCAGTGGTTCCACTTCTGGGACTCTATCCTAAGAAAATTAAATAACAACAACAACAAAAATTATCATGCAGAAATGTATAGTAGTGTATTAATCATAATAGCAGAAAAATCTAGAAATCACCTAAATACCCAACAGCAGAGGGATTCTTAAAGTGATGATAGCATGTTCATATAATGGAATAATAGAAATCCATTATGATTATGTTACTGAAGACGTTTTAATAACATGGGAAATGTTATTAATAGTTCCCATTAATATCAACAGAAAAAAGCAAGCTATGAAATTATATGGAATCTGGCCTCAGTTACGCAGTGTAATAGTCATAAGAGAAATCCAAATGCTAACAAGTGTTATTTTTGCATAAGGAAGTAGTGGTTGATTTGTATTTTTGTGTCTCATCATTCTCCAGTTCTCTGCAGTGAATGAGATTCAATTTTGTAATCTGGAGGGAAAAAAATCATCTTGCTTTCATTTTTTAAGGCTTGATTCAAAGATTATCTGTGAAAGATTCAAGGGACATACAAAAAAGTAGCTTAGCATTTTCTCACAGCCGGCATTGCCTTGCTGGAGGAGGGAGAGAGCTCTCATGCAGAGGGCTTAAGGCCCTTCCTTTCTAAAACATTCTCGGGAGAGAAGGGATGACCACAAATACAGGGAGCTACATCCTCCAGAGGGCCTGAGGGGGCTGATGCGCTGTGTGCTCAGAAGGTGATCAAGGAAAAATAGAAGAAACATAGTGGGAGGGGAGATAGTTGAGAGAGGAGGCTTGGAGACACAACCCTGACACCTCATCCCTAACTCTACCTCTAACCTTGAACGTATGGATCTGTACCTTAGGGACTTGGAGACATTTCCCTCAGCTTTGGCACCAGAGACCCTCTGGCCTCACTGAGCAGGGCTCACGCAGGGTCAGGGTCCTTCTATGATTTGCCCTAGATAAAACAGTGGCACTTGAGATGCCAGAGTCGAGGTAGCTCCATGCTCAGTCCACTGTGAAGACGTTGACCCTGACTCCTGCCCTGCCCTTCTAAGTCCCAAGGGAAAGAGCAGGGCTGCAGAAAATGTCATTTCTATGGAAGTCAAAGCAGAAGAGCTGTCCACGGCTGCTCACACTGGTTGACAGGTCTCCTGAGCTCACACAAGGTCCCAACGCAGTAAAAATACCAACTTCCCCTCTAATTTAGGGAGCATCCAGAGAGTGTGTTTAAGGTACCAGTTTTCACTGCTTCTATATGCGGTTATATATCATGCTATGGGGTTTCTAAGTTTCAGGGGGGCTGCTTGAGGTACAGGAGTAAATTGGTGCCGAAAGATGTACAAGTATACCTCACTCCCAGCAAACGGAATATCTGAAAACCAGAGTGGCATAGGAGGTACATTCACAAAAGAATTCATTTCACTCCCACTTTGAGTAATTGGTTTCTCCTCCACGTTTAAAATAACATTGTCTCTCCACAAACTGTCTTACACACAACATATTGAGCACGTAAGAGCTGCATAGCGGGAGGGAGGGGTCTGTGGGACTTAGAAGGCAGCATTTGGACACCACCGCAAAGGACACAGCCTTCTCTGATCTTAGAAGTGTTCATTCACTATACAAGCCGGAGGGGAAAAACACACAAAACTTCAAATTGATTGCAAATGGTAAACAATCTTTATGCAAAACGTTTAATAGTTTGGGAATTTTTTTTAAAAAAAAGTTTTTCTCCTACTTCCTTCTTGGAGTTTCTCACATTCAATTATCTCAGCAAGGCCATCACAGAACCCGTGGCAGGTGTTTTAAACCTACCTCCACACCTCCCGCAAACATTTAGCGCTGGCGCACACAGAGATACACACAGAGATACGCAAGACACCCAAAACAAAAGTCAATACGAATAGAGCTGTGTGCTAATGATCGATTTTCCATCATGCCACCTGGGGGCCATGCATTCCAGAGCATCAGCCCCTGTAGTGGAAGATGCCAACCTTATCACGTTCTACCAGCTCCTGCACTCCTAACCTGTTGGCTGCAGGAAAGACAGAGTTCACAGCTGCCTTTGCCAAGCACAGTTCTCTGTGGATACAGACAGGCTAGCAACACGGACCTCACGCCACAAGAGACATTTAGAAAAACTCCCGAGTAAGCTCCCTCTCCATGGAGTGCCTCAGGCACAGAGTGCAGCCTCTTATTTCTGAGTGGGAACTGAATAGAGGAAGCTGAATTAGAATTCTAAGTATTTTTGATTCAGTGAAGTGCTCTTCACATCCAAATAACATTGGAAAGTTGAGCTGGGGAGAAGCAAGTTCCCGAATCTTCAGGAAAAAGTGACAAATGAGAAATTCTGGCAAGGCATACTTAAAACCGGAAGGCACCGGAGGCTGCACCCCCTTGATCCCTGAAGCAGGGGTATGCAGGGTGACAGGCAGAAACACACACGTTGGCCAAGCTTGGCTTTCAGGGCAAAAGAGAGAAGAAATAGATGGAAAGAAGCAAAGCAGGAGTTGAAAGGAACGTGTCCATGAGATGAGTAGGGAAGGGATGAAGAAGAGAGGGCTAAATGAAGAGAAAAGGGAGTTTTGTGAAGAAAGGAGAGGGGACTGGTGATGGGTACAAGGGGTGGGGAAGGAAAGAGGAGACTAGAGAAGAAAATGGTGAGATGAGACAAAGTGCCCCCATCAACAACTGGCCGTCAGCAAAAACCCCAGCACAGGTGACCCTCCACCTTGAACCCGGCACCACCCAGCCCGGCAGCCCCCATCGCAAAGCCATAGCCTTCTGCGGACCCCCTTCCTCCCCTTCCCACGGAGGGCAAGCTCACCGGTCCAAGGCCACGGCCGTCATGGAGTAGATGCTGGCAAAGACCGAGGCGATGGGGAAGAAGTTGTGGAACTTGCAGTAGAACAGGCCGTAGTACCACTCGTTGTGGACGGCGTAGGTGAAGTTCACCACCGTGTTGAAGGCGGCCATGGAGGCCTCCGCGAAGGCCAGGTTCACCAGGAAGTAGTTGGTGACCGTCCTCATCCTCTTGTGAGCCAGGATGATCCACATCACCACCACGTTGCCCACCACGGAGGTCACCACGATGGCCGTGTAGGCAGCTGCCCAGAGGACGATCTGCCAGGTTGGCTGCACGAACTGGTTGGTCTCCGAAGTGTTGGTGGAGATGTTTGGGAAGAGGTCTGAGTCCATCGGGAGGACGTTATCCATCCCGTGGCTGGGTGGGGAAGCTGTCCTCTCCTGGACACGCACCCCCTTGAGGCCAGCGCCAGGGGACAGGGTCCTGCTGAGCCCAGACGGGAAAGCTGCAGGCTCTCTCCTTGCAAGCAAGACACTTGGCGCTGCGAAGAGGGATGCTGCTGGTGAGCTGTATGGCTGCCCCTGCTGGCCCTGAATGCCTCCACTTTCAAGCTTCGGGAAGCATCTGAGTTCAGCAATCTGGAGACAGCAGCGTGCCTTCTGTGCTGGGCTGGGAAGGGAAAAGCGATCCTGTGGGTCCTGGTGCCGCCGGGAAGCTGGAGACCCCGCCTTTCTGCACCTGCTGCTGCTTCCAACTCCTATCCCCCTCCTGCCTGCAGTGGGGAAGGCAACGCTCAGCTTCGGGAGGACTTGGGGCTTCGAAGGTGGCCCCTCCACGTGCGACCCATAAAAGTTCTCAATCTATATGGCTGGCATTCCGGAGCTCCGTGTACCGCTGGACATGTTCCCTTCGCTTTCGCGGCCGCCACCGCCGCCGCCGCCACCACCTCCTGCAGCTTCGCCACCAGCACCTCCTGCAGCTTCGCAGGCTCTTCTTGGCTCCGGTCCTGCCGGGCTGGGGAGTTAGCAGAACCTCGGCTGGCTGCGCGCAAGGTTTTTATAGCCCGCTGCAGAGACGTCATCCGGAGGAGGCAGGACCGGGGCTGCGGACTCGCCAGTCCTCGTGCGCGGCGCGGCAGCTGCACCAGCTGTTGGCAACTGCCTCGCTCCGGCAGCGCCGCAGCCACCACGCCTTGTGCAGCTACCTGCTGGGGGAGTCTGCAAGCCCAGCGCCCCCCACACTCCGCCAGGGGGCGCAAGGTGTCATGGGAGTAATTGCGCGAGGGAGGGTGGGGGTGAGGTCCGCAGCTGGAACCTAAGAGAAAAAGGAAGGATTTGCAAAAGAGCTCTTAATGACCCACACTCAACTTCCAGGGAGTCTGCAAGCCGAGCGCCCCCCACGCTCCGCCAGGGGGCGCAAGGTGTCATCGGAGTAGTTGCGAGCGGGGTAATGGGGTGGGGGTGATGTCTGCAGCTGGAACCTAAGAGGAAAAGGAAGGATTTGCAAAAGAGCTGTAGTGACCCACACTCAAATTCCAGGGAGGGCAGCCCGGGGCGCTGGGACAGCTTTGCAGGGGCGCCTGTCTGTGGCTGCGGGAGTTGGGCAAGTGTGGGGGCGAGCTGCCCGCGCTGAGCCCCCGGCCGCGCACCAGCCCGCGCACCAGCCTGAGTGCCCCGCGCGCTGGCTCTGGAGACTACGGAGATGCGAGAGGGGAGGATGCCTGGTCCCGGGTTTCTGAAGGAAATAACTTTCTGGAGGTCCCGTTTAGAAAACACCTCCAAAATACGAAGGTCCTTTCCCTGGCGGGCCGATTCTCCTGGGAAGCAGAGGTCGGCTCTGAGCTTTGGGCGCGCCCTCCCCAGCCTCCTGGGCAGCTCGCCCCTCACTCCACGAGCCACCCGCGCGCGGCGTCCCGCCCAGGAGCGCGGCTCTGGGCTCTGCCAGCACCCGCTGCGGCTCAGGCTCGGCGCCTGGGGACCCGGCAGCCTCAGCCTCCACGCCCCCGGGCCTGCAGACCACTGCGGGGACCTGGGCGGCGTGGGGAAGGGGTGAGGTTCTTCCTCCGTCCGGCTCTGCATAGGGGCGGAAGGGCAGGTCTGCCCTCCGATTCTCTCCTCCCCGCAACCCCTGCACCCTTACCAGCCCTCCCTGGCGGGCTTCGCAGGAAGCCTGGTCTCCCAGTGCAAGGCCATTTCAAACGGCAGAGCTAGCACTGGGCACTGGGCACTGGGAGGAGGTGGGAAGGGCTTGCCAGTGGGCGCGAACCGGGTTTGGAGAAGCCGAGATGGGCCGAGGTTTGGAGCGCGTTCCGGCCAGAGCCGTGCGCTTCCCCGGGGGTTCTCTGCGGGACCGGCGCTGCGGGGCGCGGGCACCAGGCTCCGGTGGGGCAAGCCCGCACTCTGGTTTAGGAACGAGTCCAGTCTGCTTGCGCGCGTCTCCACCGAGGGCGTACAGCACGCCTCGCCTGGGGAAGCTTTTTAAAGCTTAGAAATGTACTGCGGAGATTTAGAACTAACGCTCTTGGGACGGGAAATCAGCTGGCTCACTCTGGCTTTGTTGAAGCCTGGCATGACAACATTATAGGAAGTGTGTCTGACACTGCTCGCTTCTCCAAGTGCCTCTAACCCAGAGGAGAGACCCCCAGGGAGGCTTTGGAGAGAAGGCGCCCCCTTATGTAGGGGACGGCAAAGGGAACGCCGCCCCTGCCACACCGGGCCTTTCTCAGGGAGAGGGCGCATGGCCTTGTCGGCCTATACTGTTTCCTCCCAAGTTATATAAAGCGGCTTTTCTCTCCCCCCCTCCCCCTGTTCAGTGGGGGCAGGCTGACATTTTCTAAAGGAGCATTACTCAATGCTTGGCCAGGGGAATTGGGGGGCGGGGGGGAAGAAAGTAAAGAAAACATAATCTAAAAAAAAAGCATTTATTCATTTACCCTCCATCAGTATAACAAGTTACTATCTTGACCCAGATGCTGTGCCGGTGATAGCCCCGCAAGCACTTACAATCTGGGAAGAAAAAGAGACCACTATACGAACGCACAGCATTACGGAGGCAGGATAAAAAGAAGTTAGGAAAATTCCCTGGCGAGTGGAATGAGGGAAACTGAAACAAAATCGTTCAACAAGGCAGAGAAATTGACAACCTGCTAATAAATTTCAAGATCTTATCCTCCCTAGATAAACAAGATCTTACCTTCCTTAGAGAAGCAAATGTGTATACCTGTTCTCAATCAGAGCTTGAGTAACTTAAATCACCCTGGTCAGGGAGAGAGATAACAGAGACCCAGGTAATGCCATTAGTGCCCGCCAAGCCCCGGAATGGCTGAGGTCCAGGGAATAAACAACAAAAACCCGGTTATAGCCAGACAAATCCAAGATAAAAGTAAAACAGCGAGGCTGACCAGAGAATGATCCCAAACTCCTTTTGAAGCATCAGCACATTAAAGGACACACCTGGAAAGCTATTGAGTATTCTGTTGAGACATTCCCCAGAGACTCCCCTGAAACTCTCACCTTTAGAAAACAGATAAGAACCCTTAAGGCAAAGAATCCAGTGCATACTCTCTTTTGAGCACACCCCATGCTCCTCCTCTCCTTAGGCACATACTTGAACTTTCTTTCTCCTGAGCTCCAAAGGTCCTCATAAGACTTGCAACTAGGGGCGCAGTGGGTAACAGCAGCTTGTCCTGGACTATCCCTCTGAATCTGTCTCTAAAGATTCTCCTTTTGCCTCTGTAGCTTGTTTCCTGAATCCACACAGCCCAGTGTGGCTCACTTGTTACTCTGATTTCCATTCTTGAATCTAGGCAGCCCAGTCTAGGCTCACTCCTATTATCTCGCCTCTTCTGCCCTAAGCCCTTTGTCTCACAGCACCCAGCTTTAATAAATGTACTCTCAAAACCATCTGGACTCATGTGAAATCTATTTCTACATGGAGCCAAGAACCCACATATTTCAGACTGTGCTGGGCCAGGCCCCCTCCCCCCCTCAGTCCCACTCCCTTTCTGGTGGCAATACGATGAGTAAAGGTTCTAGGCTCTGTGTAAGAGGAGAAGTTGGGGTGGGGGCACCTAACCTTGATAATGAAGGGAATCAGAGAGGAGGGCAGAAAACTGTGTCTGTGGAGAAGCCTGGAGAATGTGTTAAGGCTGAGGGTGAAAAGGAGAATATTCCAGATAGATGTTTTAGATGCAAAACCATGTCACTCTGCTTAACACTTCAGGGACTGCCCAGCTCATGTAGAGGGATGCCAACATTTCTTACTGTGGCCTTCACCAGTCCACCCCCTCCACCCTGACATGTGGATGAGCTAGCCTGGGTGACTCTCCTCCCTGCTCCTGGTTCTTCATGGCAAGCATCCATATCTTAAAAATATGTATGATTTGCTAAAATTAATTTCTTACACACACACACCAAGGCATGATGGGTTCACATAAAGGAAAAAAGCCTCCATCAAACAGTAGCAGAAGGTATCCCTTGGTTTAGACACATACTCTGAGGGGAAACCTTCTCTAGCATTGCTCCTTAGATAAGATACTATATGAGATTTTTTTCCACCAAGAAATAATGTTTTTTTTCCCCCATATCCTTCCTACTGACCTCCCTCCTTGGCACACAATACAGGCCCACCAGTCTCTGATGAGACTTTCCTAATTTGTTCAGGCTCTTTCATACCTTATAGAAGAAATGCAAGCACACACAATATCCATGCATGCAAACGTATACAAATATAGGACTTTCACTATTGTCTGAATGTTGTTTTTCTCACTCCAAACATTTTCTGAATGCTTCAGGGTCAACAGATAGATATTTAACTCATCCTATATAACAAAAGTCTAATATGCAAATCATCTCCTCAACCAGGAATTTAACCAGGAGTTTGACCAGGGGGTGAGGCCTGCCAGCCAACCACCCAAGACTCCTCCCCCTGGCCTGCCCTGCCCCAGCTAGCAACTGGCAGCTGTTAGGGACCCTACCCGAGCATGAATTTTGTGCCCTGGGCTCTAGTTCTTTTATATTCTTATGTTATGGGTGCACCATACACTCCATTTCCTAATCATGAAAATCACTTTGCTTCCAGTTTTTGCTACTACAATAAGCATCTTTACATGTGTCTCCACAGTCTGATGTTTTGTATATATGGGATAGATTTCAAGTGGAATTGCTAGGTAATTAATTATATTTATATTTATGTTTATGTTTATGTTTTTTATTTATATTTATGTGCACATATATGTGTTGTATATTTCCATTTTTATTTAATGTTGCCAGTTTGCCTCCCAAAAGGATATAACATGGCTACATTTCACTAGGTATTAATTTACCCTTCCCCCCATATCTACACCAGTAATAAGTATTAAAAGTCTTTTTAGTTTTGTCAGTCTAAAATATGTAAAGTATGTTAACATTTCTAATACATAGGGTTTATTT